TGGTCAAGCGAACTACTCGAAAGCACTTAGGCACGAGATGATGATGAAGACTAATCTGATAGGCGTCATTGCACACGGCAGAGACCCTAGTATATATGTGTACACGTGGTTTCCATATTTCAAACACGATTCCAACACGGTCGCTACTTGTGTTATGAGAACCCTTGTCGAAATTCAAGGGAGCGGGATGCCACTGCCACGGTTTTTGCGCATTCAAGCAAATAATTGTTGGCGGGAAAACAAGAACAAGTACATACGTGCCCTGGCTGCACTGTTGGTTAAGTTCGAAGTTTTTGAAGAGGTAGAAATAGGTCTCATGCTGGTGGGACACACCCATACAGACGTTGACGCTACTTTCAGCGTTTTCTCAAAGAAATTGAAAGACGTAGACGCTTATACTATGGACGTGTTCTTCGAGCTCATAAAGCAATCCCACAAAAAACCTCCCAAATGTATTTTCCTCGATACGATGGAAGATTGGATTAGTCTAGTGGACCCGTGCGTTGCGTCAGACATTACCGGTATTTCAAAATCGCACTTGCTTAAATTTTTTATGGTTGGAGATAGTCCGGGCATGTTGTACAAGGAGTTTTGCGATGATGAAGAATGGTTGCCCGAGGAAGGTCCGATTTTTTGGTTCAATCAAAMCCCCGATGAAAGCTATGCTGGTCCTTCGTGGCTGTTTGACCCGCCTCATGTGCAACCCCTTCCTCGAAATGACTATTTGAATGGCAAAAATGGTGTTGTTCGATTCCGCGAGTTGCTGGAGAGTAGGCGGTCGACGTGGTGCACTTACAATGACCATGAGGTGAGTAGGAGAGAAACAACTTTGTATTATTGGGAGGAGGTTATCAAACATGGCGATGAGATTATCGCCAACGGGTTGTCCTCATAACCCTAGGGAAGTTTTTGGCCACGACCACGGCTGCTCGAAATCGATCAACAACCTTCCCCTCACAGTGTCAACATCGACGATGACAGGGAACCGCTGTTTGTTGGACGAAGAAAAAATCGCCCGAAGACTAGTTTCGACCCCCTCGTGCATGTCGACGTGGACACTTTTCTTATCCTTCGCCCCTCCGACGATGATCTGTCCAGCGGTGTGCCAATTTGGGTGGGCAAAATTATAATCAAGAATGAGTGCTCTGGCGGGCATGGGAAATTGTAATTAAGAATGAGTGCTCTGGCGGGCATGGGCAAAATTATTACCTACGCGAGGACACTCATGCAACAATGGGATAGGCTCTCTACGCAAGATGCTTTCTCGGGTGGTTGTTGATTGTAATTCGCAAAATTATAATCAAGTGCTAGTGGAATATTGGGTGTCGACTGGGAGAGCAAAGTCGCTCGAACAACTGTATGAGAACGCATGGGAAAAACGATGGAAAATGACTGACCAGACACAATGGCAGGATGCTGACTCGATCGCTTTTGGTTGGGAGAGACCGGTCCGTGGTACAAGACCATTCACAACTGGACTTGTCATTCCTTCCAGTGTTCGACTGAATGTTGAAGCTGCACTTCTCGATCTGAGTCCATCTGGTGAAGGTCCATCTGGTGAAGGGAGAGTAGATGGAGGGGACAAGAGAGATTAGTGCACGTCCGCCCGATAGAGTGGGGGAGTGAGATTCTTGTAAAATAACTGTTTGAAGGGACGAGAATTCAGAATGGAGCATATTATTGTTGCAATAATTTTGCGTAGCGAATTTTGTCCACGGTCTACGGTTTAATTTTTTAAGATGGTTGGTGATGGTTCAGCAATTTTCGAAGTCAAGTTCATCATGAAGGCGATTTTTTTACTATTTCGATATTTCATTTTCATTTTGTTTGCATTTCATGTCTTGTGTAGGGAGTGCGAAAGGAGTCATGGACCATCGGCATGATTATGCATGTCCCATTCACCCTTGTGCATGCAGATTCCATGGTTCGGGAGGCGTGCCGGAAAACGACCCGTGGATGACCGTCGTCCCCTTCTTTGACAAGCCTATCGATGCGTGGTCCGAGGCAGAATGGGATAGAGCCATCTTGGCAAGGAAATGCCCATGGTATAAGGACTACAAATTTGCTTCCGCGATGGAGTGGGGAAGTCTGATCAAAGTACCTCATTATGCCATTGGTGTCAGGCAACTTCCGTCCCTGCACGCCGCGCTCAGGCAGGAAGAGAATAACAGGTTTTACCTTCGCCTGGACAACATAACGAGATCACCTCGGGTGTGGTCTGCAGACTTGAAACAAGAGTTGTTGGATTGTGCATCCTACAATCCGTTTTTAGAAGTATATCCGCTGCGTGGTGCCGGGTTACAGCCAAAAGATGTGTCATATTGTTGCATACGGTTGTCTGTGGCCAGTTCCGACTTCTGCAGAGTGTTGTGTGTGGCATGTTCAAACTGAAAGCGAACTTTGGTACACGCTGTAGTGCTAGTTTCTTGCAACCACCTGAGAGTCTATGGTCGCAGCATGGGGAATTTGCGCCCTCTGTACGAGAACGGACAATCCGATTTGGAGATCGCCATTCGAATTGATGAGGTTCATAAGTGGCATGAGGCAGAGCAAGTGACATGTTGTGTGCGTGACGCCATCGGTAGGTCCTTGGCGGGTGCCTGTAGGTTTGTAAGGATGAAGTACATTTCGGTGTTCTCGGGGGTGGCGACGAAGGGACAGCCACAAACCCTTGTTTTCGGGTCGTCAATGAATGCCTTATACGGGTTTGGTTCTAAAGGGACGCGGGGACATCGGTAGGAACTTCAAATTTTGTAAATGATAGCGTTTTAGAAAGTTTACATTGTTGCAGCTGGTAGCGTTTAATTTAGACGTAGTTCAATGTACAGTTGCCTTGTAGCGTTTAATGTAGGCGTACTTCAATCTTGCATTTGCGATTTCTTGCAAGTGTCGGTACAATTTTGAACTTTAATTACCAGTACAATTTTTGACTTTTAATTTTTCATGGGTACGACATTTCGTGAAGTGAGACAGAATCCATGGTACTCACATGAATTTCAGTTTCATATGACAATGTCGTATCGGTTTATGATTTTTTGTCAAAGTGCGCTGAAATCCATACATAAACCATCTTAGACTGGTTTCGCCTTCACACCATGTCATGTGTAGTACGTCTGATTCAATTGCATTTCAATGTATGACAATGACATGTTAGCTTCGTCCTTAAAGTCACATAAATTGTCGAAGTGTGATAGAGTCAAAAATTATCGAAGTGTCACAGTGTTGGAATCCATCCTTAAATCACACCGAACAGAGTGAGTGTCACGTCTTTTAATAAGTATGTAGTACATAAATTATCGAAGTGCGATGGAACTCATAGTCACTGTACTTAAACCGTAATCTTGTTTGTCGTGTCATTCGTTTGTCGTGTCATTCGTTAAACTTTGTCGTGATTAGTATACATTTAATAGAGTAAAAGCAAAAATTATCGAAGTGCGACGGAATCCATACTAGACTATTAGTACTTAAACCATCCGTGTGCTTGCCGTAAATGTCCCACTTCGATTGAGTTTCAATAAATTAAGGGAAGTCACAATGTTATCTAAAAGAGGTCCGACTCAATGCTGACTCAAAATTGAGCAAGGTGTAAAGAAATGGAGAGTTCAACAATTCATGTTGTAACCGTAACGGCTTTTAAGTTACAAAATTGATGGAAGTGCAATGGAATCCACACTTAATNGTGTAAAGAAATGGAGAGTTCAACAATTCATGTTGTAACCGTAACGGCTTTTAAGTTACAAAATTGATGGAAGTGCAATGGAATCCACACTTAATCCATCATAATCAGTAAGTGATTGCCTTGAATCTCCGGCTTAGATTCAATTTATAGCTTCTCAATTGCATTCTTTGGGTTCCTAAGTTCCATTCAGGTCCAAAATATAGTGATTTTAACATGAAATTAATAGCGTGCGAGTACCAATTTAAAATATAATGTCCTATTTTAACGGATAACATGTTCTCTACCCCCGGAGCTGCTGTGCTCTTGCTCTCCGAATCGACGGACGCACCCTCCGAAGCTTAACGTTCATGCTCGCAGCCCCGATCTCCAACACTCCTACATCGAGCCCCTTCAACACTTCGCGAGCCGGCCAGTGTTAAGTCTCATTTTCCCGCTGCAGAGCATGCGCTTCCTGTAAGAGCTCCTCTTCCCCCGGAGTTGCTGTACTCTTGCTTTCAGAGTCGACGGACGCAACCTCCGAAGCATGACGTTCATACTCGCTAGCCCCGGTCTCCAACACTCTGCGAGACTGCCATTGTTGAGTCTCCTCTTCGTACTGTACAGCATGCACTCCCGGTGAGAGCTCCGCTTCCACAGAAGTTGTTGTACTCTTGGTCTCACAGTCAACGGATACACCCTCCGAAGCATTACGTTCATACTCGCTACCCGCGGTCTCCAACACTCCTGCAGCGGGCCCCTCCAACACTTTGAGTCTCAACATATAAGAACGACGGTGAGCAGGGGAACACTGTGCCCAACTGAAGATGCGGGGGGTTGGACCTCACATTTTCTTGGCCCCATGGAATTGTAGCGTGAGGAGCGCTGCTGGCGGAAGGTCTGCAGGGCGACGTCAGTAACTCCGAATGTATTCGGACTTTGCGGTGAGCACTGCTGGCGGAAGGCCCGCAGGGCGACGTCAGTAACTCCGAATCTATTCGGAGTTTGCGGCGCTCGCCGGAGCTGAGGGAGCTGACGCTCGCACTTTCGCTCCTTCGCAATGCAGGCATCCCGGCCTCCAGGCAAAACGAAGACGCAGTTCCTGCTAAGGAATGGTTTTGCCACTCAGGAGATGCTGCCCTATGCTGCAGACGTTCGCCCTCTTCCAAGAGGCGCAGGAGCAAGGTGTTGTGCACAGGAGACGTCGGCTGCGTATGGTGGGACGGACTCTCCTCGACATCGGGAAACAAAGTCCTCGCAGAAAAGTGTGAATCTACTCGCACTTGATAAGACTTCAGGGCGGCCTCGTCTCGCATGTCGGAATCTCGGCTCCCTACGCCGTGGCTATCAGCTCCCTTAGATTCGCGACTCCCGAACGCTTTACGCTTTCCGCCCGACCCCTTTTCGCCCAACCCCTTCCCCGCCGACCCGTTTCCGCCCGACCCCTTTCCACCCGACCCCTTTCCGCCCGACCCCTTTCCAGCTGACCCCTTTCTGGCACATCGTGAGCCGTCTCCTCCCTCACCTCCTCCAACAGATCCTGAGCCGCCTCCTCCCTCACCTCCTCCAACAGATCCTGAGTCGTCTCCTCCGTCATCTCCTCCATGAGATCCTGAGCCGTCTCCTCCGTCACCTCCGCCGTCTCCTTCGTCTCCTCCTCCACCGCCTCCCGGATGCTAACCAGCCGATGGAGGTTGCGGCATGCGCCAGTCAATGCCACGAGACGGTGCCGTTTCGAGTGTGTAGAAAGGCACTCGCAACTCCAACATTTTGTTGTCGTACAGCTCGTCGAGCTTCTGGCCTGCATACGCATTGACGTTCGGCAGGCTCCTTTTGGGGTTCATCACACTCAAACGCTCCACGAGAGCTTCTCTCACCTTTTTCTTAAATGGACCCGCTCCCAATCTGTTCAGACCACTCCACTTGCCATCGGCTTCCTTCATTGTCATGACCCACTTTCCATTCTTTACAGCAGGTTGGAATTTCCTGGGGTGCAAGACGACGTTGTGGCCCCAGACATCCTCCGCTGTGAACCGGTGGTGCTTCCCGTAGAAGAAGAGTCTGTCATTCTCCCAGGTTTCATGGTCCTTAGGGATCTTGCTGCCAGGTTCGTACTCATAGTCTCTCTTTTCTTCCCCGTCATCAGACGATTGGTCCTCGACTGTTTCGCGCTCAAACACACGCTTCAAACCGGCAGGGGACGCGCTATATCTCCGAGGCACACTTCCCCTTCATCATCAACCTATGCAACCACCTGACGAAGTGGCATGGACTCGAAATCGAAGGTTTCAGAGTCGCTCAACTCCTCCATGTCTTCAGCGTCGAAAGGGTCCTCCTCGTCACACTGCGCCTTGTAGTTTTCGAGGGTCTGCGGTTCGGCCATCAAGAAGAAAATGTGCTCCAGCCTTTTCAGGAAATTTGAGACGGACTCCCTGGGTGCATCGTGGTAACCATTCAGCACATCGAACACCAGGTTTCTCCATCGATTGTATTTCAGGTCGGTCTGAGCAGGCGGTCCAGGTTGGAAAAGGAAGTCTCAAACCTCCGTCCTTTTGTTTCCCGACAATTTCCAATACATGTCACGTTTGGGATCCCAGTTTCGTTCGCCGGTGGTCTGGACAAAAGACCAATGGTGGCGAGGGTCCCCCACGCGTGTCTTAACGAACTCGTTAAGGTAATCAATCATCCTCGCCTCGTTCTCTAACACAACGATGTTCCAACCGCTGCGCAGGAGCTCCCACACGACAGACGCATGCGCCTTCCCAAAGAAAGAAAGCAGTTTGCCCAACTCTGCAAAAGTTTTCGAGCAGACCAATTAGATGAGCCGGGTTGCGCTCCCTGTCCCCGTAAGTAGCTCCACGAACACTTGTCACGCCGCCGTCCTCCCACTAGCTATGAGGGAACTTGTCCTCGTCTGCCACGTCGAAACAGGCCACAGCTTGTCCTGATGGGTCGGATGAACATGCAGCTTTCGAGTGGGCCGCCGCCGCGGATTTGGCCGGACTTGGAGCATGAGCACGGGGAGGCTTCGTTGGATTACTGGTCGGGAAGACTGCAACCGTGTTGTCTGCCAGGTTCTCGCCATTAAAAACCACGTACAGACGATCATACTCCTCGACCAGCATATTGCCTTCCCGGACAGTGGCCTGCCTTTGTGCATGGCGCACCCACTTCCCTGTCCTGACGTGATGGACGGTAAGCGTGGCCATGCCTTTCAAGAAACTGAGCTCCCAACGAGAGGGGAAGAAGACCACAAGTGCCCTGTGCCTTGGCAATAGGGTTTGGCGAACGCCTTGTAAGGAGGCGAAATCGTCTTCTTGCCAGTCTGAGAGGAGTGTGGGATCACACAAATCGAGGACGTACAAGTTGCATACGTAATGTCGCACAATCTCGCAGATCTCAGCGAGACGACTGTGAGCTTGGGAAGGCGGACAACCGAAAGGAATAAGGCTGGTCACCCGGTTGAGCTTGTGCCATTTCATGTGCCTCACATCCCCGCTGACCCTGATCGTGTCTTGGACTTCTTCCTCCGTTCGTCGCAAGATGGAACGGACGAACTTCTCGAAAGATTCAGGGAACCTGTCATCATCGTACATTCTCTTCGTGTCGTCGAGGGACTCCTTCTCGTACGGAAGAATACGTTTGCAAGTGTTCACGTACTCCACCGCGCCTTGGAAATGCTTCCGCAGTTCGACCCACACCTGCTTCGTGAGGCCTTGTGGCCCGAACTTCGCCAGAAGCTGCCCCTCGGTCCGAAAAAAAGGGCTCTCGTAGCGCCAAACCTCTGAGTCCTCCTCAAATTCAAGGAACAAGATGTAGTAAAACATGCGGAGCATCATGCGGTCCACTTTCCTCGTCGCGACCATGTCTTTAATTCCAGGCTTATGTTGACGTTTCGGATGCCCGCCCGCCGATTGCACGAACATTCCCCTCAGCGCGAGAATGTCGTCGAGGATCGACAGTTTTTCGGCATCGATCATGTCTGCGAGAGACTGCCAACAAAACATGTCTGGCTCCTTCACGACGACGAAAAACTTGTCTTCTGCTTGCGTTTTTTTTGGTCGGAGGAGGCGGGACCCGGACCAGCCACCCCATCTTCGTTTCACCAGCCGCCCCTTTCGCACCCATTTCCGGAATTGGTTGAAGACCCAGAGATTTGTCTGGCATGTATTTGCCCGGCTTCAACAAGGGCGTCTTCCCATCTCCGCCCAACAACTTTCCCTCGGCCCATTTGTCATAGAACTCCATACCTTTCCGGAAAACCTCATCACTGGCCGTCACGAGCGGCATCCATTGCCTCAATGCATTGCCAATGGCAGCGACGTGGTCCTTGTCAGCGAGCGTTGTCGCTCTACTTGCCATCGTTCAATGAGCCCCGTTCGGACTCTTTCCCAAAAGCAGCTTTTGGAACTCGAAAAACGCTTGTTTTTCGGCCTCCTTACCGGAAGGGCTCCCTTGAATGGCCACCGGCCTTCCTTGATTCTCCCATGGCTCCTGCATGTCCTCGAAAGCGACCTTCTGCGCACGCTGCTTAGACATCTTGTGTCTTGTGTTCTCCGTGAGACTGACCTGCAAATACCTTTCAAAGTCTTCGTCGGAGAACCACACGACTCTCGCCGGCCACGAGTGCATCTTCCACAAATCGAATATTTGCTCACCGTCCAATTCCTTCACAGTAGCCACGGTGTGTTGTCCGTTGACAGGGTAATAAAAGTACTTGTCCTTGTCCTCTGGCTTGAACACATCCTTGCGAACCCTCTCAACTCTCTCCGGCTTATGCCTCATCGGCTTGTAGATGAGTGCCAGTAACCAATGGGTTTTTCACCCAGATCTTCCCCTTTTCATTGTGGAACTGCCTTAGCATCGCACCCTTGATGTCCTCCACACCATCGCGAGTGAGACTGCGATGTTTGTAATATCTTTCCCACGGTGGGATGTCGCAGACCTTCCAGGGGTCGATGAGCAGTTGAATGGGGGGTTCCTTCTCCACGATCTCACCGTCATCGTTCCGCTCGTATTCGAGCCAAAACGATGCCGCTTCGTCGTACTGCCTACCGACAGCCCTTTCGCCACCACTCGTCCCCTCACCAGTCTTCCTCCTCCGAGGTTTCCTCTGGCCATCGCCTTCTTCATCTGGCAGTTTCCTTTTGGATTTCTTTGAAGGTTCTCTCGCGGCGGCAATGCCTAGACGAGTCGAATCTCCTTCACCCATAGCTTGACCTTCGCGGATGGTCAAACCGTCGGGCCTCCTCGCTTTCTTACTTGTTGTTGCACCCTCTTCCTTCGACTACCTCTTTTTGACTCCTTGTTCTTGTCCGCCACACATCCCTGGCGTCCTCTTTTCCGAGGCACGTTCTCTGACGTCACCTTCATCCCCGCCAATCATCGGCTCCGAGTGTCCTTTCATCCTCTTCATGCGTCGGGTTTGTTCCGCCACCTCTTCTCGCACCGTCTTCTGTCGCTCACGCTTCTTTTCCGAAGAAGTCGGCTCCCCGCCAGAGCTGTCGCGCCCAGCGCCCATCCCTTCAGCCTCATCCCTCCAACCTCTTGCCCTGATCTGCCGGATTCTCTTCTCGTCTTATCTCGAAGTGAATACGAGTCGCCCTGGCAGACGACCTTGAGGATTTTCGGAGTACCGACCCGGTGAGTCCCTGCATCTGGAGAATGCAAGCCAGACGTGTTCCCAGGAGCATCCGGGCCGACCTGCGTCTGAATGCTGCGCGCGTGCCCCTTGCCCTGACCCCCAGTGCCGTGAATCACACTCCCGTGCCCCACTGGCGTCACAGGGGTTTCTTGAGCCAAGCTGGACGACCCCTCATGGGCTGGCAGAAGCCGAAAAGCATATTCTCGCGGAAGAACTGGACGGTCTTTCGGCACCTTCAGCGCGAGATCGAGGTATTCCACTGGCGGTGGAAGACGCCTGCTGTTGCCATCGTAAAGCCCTTTGAAGTGACGGCAAAGTAGCACGCTCGAGCCGTGCCCCGCGAAACTCTCGATCGACACTATCACACCCTTAACACCTTTGTAAGGCAGTCTGCAGTGGTCGTATAAGATGTTAGTGTGCAGCTTGAGCAAGCCTCCAGACTGTTTGCCGAAAGAGACGATGGTACCGAGAGGAAGAACATCGGTTGCTCCTTCAGCGTCTGGAAAGCAAGTGGGTCGCATGAAAACAGCTGGCCCAACATCGTTCCCCTCAACAACGAAGTCCAAAAACGATTGTGCATCCCTCATATGGAAATACTGAGTAGATTGCTGAAGAGGTCGTCCCTCCCCGGGGCAGACGCCCCAGCGCTTGTCGATGCGTTCTTCGGGGACGCCATTTTACGCCCAACCCTAGACTAATACGCCCAACCCTAAACCAAATCGAATGACCGGGAGGAAAGCCACAAGGTTTTCCTAAGACTACAAAAGCAAATTGCGAACTAACTCGGAGTTGACCAAATGGAGGACCAAAACGATTTCGGAGATGAGTGTTTGAAATGCACACGAAGTCACAACAATTGGGTAAAGGAGAGGAAAGACAACACTCCTCTGGCAGAGTGAGTTCGGAGGAAAGATAACAAGTCCTCAGAAAGAGTGCGAACCAACTCGTTGTCCTAGAAACGAGGAAGAGGCGGTTTATCTTCAAGAAACTGCGAACTAACTCGGAGTTCTGGGAATGACGACCTCTACAGCAAGTACCGCATGGGTATCGACAAGTGGGAACCAACTCGCAGTTCTGGAGACAAGACAAAACGACGTACGAGATGGGTGTTTGAAATGCACACGAAGTCACAACAATTGGGTAAACGAGAGGAAAGACAACACTCCTCTGGCAGAGTGAGTTCGGAGGAAAGATAACAACTCCTCAGAAAGAGTGCGAACCAACTCGCTATCCTAGAAACGAGGAAGAGGCGGTTT